AAGGGATTAATACTGAATCTGTGGATGCTTTTCATGTTAAAATCTGTTTTTTCATTTCTTAAAATTATTTTTGATATAATTTCTCATTTTTGACAGTATATTCTTTCATTAATTTTTAAATTTAAAATTTTTAAAAATTTGCTACAGGGCACATGTGCTCACCAGAGAGAGACAGAGAGAGAGAGGGAAAGTAAGAAAGCAAGCCAGCAGGTTCAGAACTAGAACCATGGTCAGTCACATGAGGATCTAGCGCCTTAACTACCACACCACCTGCTGATCCCTTGGTAGAATATTCTCACCTTTTTAAAATATATGTTGTGCTTAGGGCATTGTAGCGATAGTCTCCTTTGGACATTTCTTTTGACTTTTTTGTTTCACTACCATGAGTAATAATTACTAGGATAATTATGTAGTAATATTTGTTTCGTTTTTTTTTACAAAGAAAAAAACAATTTTGTTTGTTTTTGGTTTTGTTTTTGTCATAGGTCACATGCACTCCCAAGAGAGACAGAGACAGAGAAAGTAGGAAAGTAACAAATCACCCCCAGGGTGATTACGTCGCTGGACTCCCACGTAGGCAACTACGGTTTGAGATCTGGACCTGGCAGCTTAAAACACACCAGGCACGTGTGCATGCACGTCCAAAATCCCGAGTGGAGAATTGAAGAGAAGGGATTGTGGTGTGGCCATCCCCCCAAGGGGGTGACTTCTCACTTTCTGTCTCTCTGTGTTTCTGGTGAGTACACATGCCCTATAGCAAAAATCTATCTGAGAAAAAGAAAGAAAGAAGAAGAAGAAAATAAAATGAAAGAAAAAATATCACACTGGAAGAATGGAGAAGAGATTGCAAAGTGGCCATTCCCCCTGAATGGTTCCCATGAAACCAGTATGTGAGTATTATTTGCTTCTTCTTATAAAAGTAAGAGATATTTATTCCACTAAAAAGGTCAGGGCCAGCCAAGTAGCCTCCTGGTTAAAGGGGTCATATTCCACATGGCAGACTGCAGTTCAAATCCCCTGTCCTGGTGGACATGCATGTGTGTCCCCAGAATCCTGAAGGGATGGACAAATGGAGGAGAAGGGATGGCAATGTGACCACAACCCATGGGGGGTGCTTTCTCTCCCACTTTCTCTGGTAAGCTCACGTGCCCTCTGGCAACGGAGAGAGAGAGGGAAAAGAGAAATGAAAAATTAATTTACAATATCATTTTATGGTAATATGTAGATATATATAACAACAAAATAAGGCCCCTTCTTTGTCTAATATAAAACTTAAAAGTACCTACATACTTACCTTATATGTGTGTGTGTATTATTTATACTTACGCATCTTTTTGTTTAATCTCTTTGATAAACATATAAACACAGTTATTTTTATTTTTTAGTTTTCTACTAAAACAGTAAAGGTTTCCGACTTTGTTATAGGGAAGGCATATTATCATATCTATCTTTGTAACTCAGTACATACACGAAATCATTTTTCACCTTGGAATAGCATTCCATTGTATAAATGACCTATTAAGATGCTAATAAGTTTTAAATACCTTTGGATATTTGATAAATATTTTTTAAAACTATTTTAATTTGCATCTTGAGATATTTATTTTTATCAGATGTTTACTAGTCATTACATTTCTTTTATCAATTATTGGTTTAATGTTTAGACAGTATACTCTTACCTTTTAAAATATATGTTATGCTTGAGGTATTGTAGTGATATTCTGGTTTGGACATTATCAGTTGTTCAACTTGTTTCTTGAGTATTTTATTGTGTCTTTTTTATATAGTAGAAATATTACATTTTCTGGCTGGGTTATAAATGTATTTCTAAGCTTTTTTTCTTCTAAATGTTGTGTCTTTAGTCATAAATGTTTAAAATGTTTATGTTTTCAATCTTGTCCTTTATAATTTCTGAGGATTATATCCTGATTAGACCAGCCTGCCATAATGCAATATTTATAGTTTATGTTTTTTGCCTGCTTTTTAGATTTCATTTTATTTTTTTTTAATACAGTAACGTGAAATAGGAACAAAGTTTATCTTTTCCAAATGGATGACCAGCTGAACCAATCCACTTAACTGATGAATAATTCTTGTCTTGGTGATGCAAAATATTTTATTTTTCCTGTATATCTCATTCCATCTCTACAAAACAGTGAGATAATGACTCTAAAATTAATAATGGCATAATAGAAAAGCAAAAATTTTAAAGTTGCAACAGTTTCAACAAGTCACTGTAAACAAGCCACTTGACCTAAATCTCAGTCTCCAGGTCCTTAAACCGGATATAATGGTGTAGTCTTGAAAATTCAGTGACATACTAAATGTAAATTGACTATGGAATGCTAAGAAATCAGTTAATTGGGATCCTTTTCCCCTTGTCTACTCATTCTTACAAACCACTATTTGTTAAGCTGTATTAGTTAATATACTTCACATTGGCCTATTCCAGTGAAAACTTGAGTTGAAAATAAAAGATACAGAAGTTCTGGGAGTTAATATAGAGTCCCCCAGCCCCTACTAACTTTCTCAGTGGTTCCACTCCACACTGAGCTAGTACTGACAGCACTTTGTCTCTGGACTATCACAGAAGCACAGAGAATGAGTGACAGAGCGGGTGACTTAGTTTGGCACGCCTGTCATTTCTTTTGGCAAGTAGGCTTTTTTTTCCAAAACTTGAGGTGTAATAATATGTCATTTCAGCTAAAAAAAAAAGTTTTTTGCAGACCGTTCTATTCAAAGTGGAAAGAAGAATGGAGTCTCAATATTCAGGAAGGCAGAACAGAATGGAGGGAAGTTGTCAGTGGAGTTAATGATGTTGAATATGGCACCCCCAGAAAACTCACGGGGCTCATCGTAGTGTGAACAATACCTTGATGCAACAGGAACACAGTTCATATTATTTATACTTTCGATAAGGGATGGAAGATGAGTTATAGTGTTAAAACCACGTAAGACGTGGCTATGATAGGAAGCAGGGGCATCAGAACATGGTCCAAAGAGGAGTCACAGTAGCTGAACTTTAACAAGGAGTGGCTGCATTCTGGCTCGGAATCACCACAGCCAAGGGCAACTCTCCCTATTTGCTAACAAATCTAAGGAAAGTGCACATTGATACGGTCTGCTGACCCCACCAAGAGTGAGGTAATACATCACCCAGACTACTACGTAACTAATTTTGAAGCCCACTTCCTTCTGAGAGAGCCAGCCCAGCTCAGATGGCTAGCTGAAAACCCCAGATGGAAAGCCTCACTTTGGCAAATCTCTTTCAGGACCTTTGCCTGTCAGGAGCTTTTCACTTTCAATAAAACTCTGCTTTACTAGCCCCCTCCTTTGTCCTCTCATTAGTACTGATAAGGAGACTGGAACTCAGGCCAACTCAGGAATCCTGCCACAGTTATACATTCTAAACAGGGCAAATAAAGCGTAAAGAAAAATAGTGGACATTTTCGTTCCATCGTTTAAAAGAGAGAAATTCAAGTCAAGTCAATATATATTTTGTGAATTACCTGATATTGCCAGGCACTGGTCCCAGCACTAGAAATCATGATTTCACAAAAATATGCTTTGAGGGTCAGCAGGTGGCATGGTGGTTAAGGAGCTGAACTCCTACATAGCTGACCGTGGTTTGAGTGCCAGACCTGGAGGCTTGCTTTCTCACTTTCTCTCGATAAATTAAATAATAATAGTAACAAGTAAAATTACATTAAAAATATGCTTTAAATAAATTTTCTCGGTCATCCTGTGGCATGAGAATTAAGAAGACTGGATTCCACATGACTGACTGGATTCAAGTCCAGTATCTGGTGACTTGAAAAAACACACCAGGTATGTGTGCATGCATGCCCAAAGTCTTGACAGAAGAGAGAAATGGAGGAAAAGGAATTGCACTGTGACCATCCACCACGGGGTCTGCTTTCTCGCTTTTCTTCTATTTTTCTCTCTGCTTCTCTCCAGTGAGTACACATGCCCCCTGGCAATTTTATTTTTTAAAAATAGATTTTCCGTATATATTAGAACTATCATAAAATTAATTTCATATTTGTTTTCAAGGCTTGGCAAATTTTCCATTCAATTCAAAATATACATAATGTGGGAACCAGCAGTTAGCGTAATGGCTATGTCGCTGGACTCCCACATAGTCGACTGCGGTTCACGTCCCGGACCCAGTGGCTTAAAACTCACACCGGGCGCGTGTGCGTGCGTGCCCAAGATCCCGAGAGGAGAACGGAGGAGAAGGGATTGCGGCGTGACCATCCCCCCTGGGGGGTGATTTCTCGCTTTCTGTCTCTCTCTGTCTGTCTGGCGAGCAAACGCGCCCTATAGCAAAAAGCTCTCCAAAAAACAAACAAACAAACAAACAAAAAATATATATATATAATGTAACTAAATATGTAATGAAGTTAAATGTTTCTTCAATGGGAAAATGGCATTATTGTAATGTATTTTTTTACTTTTCTTCTCTTTATTTGCCAGAGTATATGTGTGCTTGCCAGAGAGAGAGAGAGAGGGAGAGAAGACAGGAAAGCACCCCCTGTGAGGCATGGCTGTGCCACAGCTCTTGCTCTTCCCTCTGTGGTTACACTGCAATGCCATCTTCATTGTCCTTTCAGGATTTGGGGCACACACACACACACACACACACACGTGCAGCCATTCCACATGTGTTTCAAGCTATTGGGTCTAGGACTCAAACCACATGCTGGGCGATGTGGAATCCAGTTGCCTTAACCACCAGGCCACGGGCTGTCTCAGTCATGTGTGTTTACAGAGTCCTATTCTCTTTAGGGGATAAGCCACTGTCGTATTTTGAATTGGCTTTAAAAGAATTCCCTTTTTTAAAGTGGTAGGGGTGAAAGTATGACGCAACACGCTTGGGCCCAATGGATTCTTATCAAAGTACTGTGATGAGTACAGAGTGTCCCTCTACTTCCATATCTATTTGGAAATTTCCGTGATAAAAAGCTTAAATGGCTTGTGACACAAATAAACCCACAAATATTGATAGCTAGAGCTGTGCTATACCGGGTGGAAAGTGATTTCCTCTCACTGTCTACATTCCCTGATTTAAATCCTGTAAGTCCAAACCCCAGACTGTTACTGAGTAGCTGTGCTATCTTAGGGAGGTCGACTAACCCCTTAAGGTCTTGATTTCCTCCTCTGTGAAAACTGTTATGACGTGGCTGTGAAGACTAAGACAGCTCGCTCCATCTGAATGCTCAGACCGATGGTTGGCACTTTGTAGGTACTCAATATTTGCTCTGTTGTTTTGTAGGAATATGGCCTTTGGTCTCCTGGCACATTATTCAGGCGAGAAACCTCCCTGAGAATAATCTGGACTCTCAGGCTCCCAACGGCAGCCTCTTCCTTCCCTTGGCACAGCTGCTCTGCTTTCCTCAGCCTCACGCTCTGTTTGACGGTAAGAAGCAATGTAGTTATCAGTATGTCGTTTTCAAGCTATCAAGCTCAATGCTTCAAATATTGACAAGGGATTAAAAGCATTTTTGACAGGGAACAAACAACAGATGGTGTAATGGTTACATCCTTGGACTCTCACGTAGTCAGTCGTGGTTCAACCCTCAGACCTGGTGGCTTAAAACTCACACTAGGTATGTGGGAGTACTTGCCCAAAATCCTGAGAGGAGAATAGCGGAGAAGGGAGAAGGGGTTGCGGCATGGCAATCACTTCTGGGGAGTGATTTCTCACTTTCTGTATCTGTCTCTCCAGCAAGCACATGTACCTCATAGCAAAAAAAACTCTCTCTAAAAATTAAAAAAAAAAAAATTGACAACTTGAGAAAAGTAAAATATACTAATTCAAATATGCACTGGCTCAATAAATGTAAAAATAGGAAAAATAACACAAACTATATAATATCTTTGTGTGCATGTGTCCAAACTACTGGATTCACTTTGTGACCTAGTAACTAAAAATATTCTAAGAAATCTCGGTGCTAGTAAAGGATATTATTTCCTCTCAAATGAAATTACCCAAGAAAAGACCCAATAAACATACTCTAACAAATATATTATGTAGAAATTAATGTTATGCTTAAAATATTAAAGGTCTAGTCTTAAGACAAGGTCAAATTTCTCAAATAAGTTTAAACGCATTGGGTCTAATAAGAAAGTTCTTTTCTAGAGTAAATAATTAAATAATTGAATAATACAATCAATAATACATTTTAATAATACAAATTGCTTCAAAAACAGCAGAAAATACGTTTAAAAAGATGAACAAATCGAGAGCATACACACAACAAAGGCCTGGAACATCCATAATTAATATTTAAAGAGAACTTGTAATGAGCGCTACGCATCCACGTGGCCCAGATCTCCATGGTTATGATGGTAAAGCTCAATATTTGAAATATATGGTATAATAGAGACTGGGGAGGACTGTGGCACACTGGATCTAAAAGTAGCTGCTGAATGCAAAGGTATTAGAATTCATTTATGTTAGACATGGAGACAGCCGGTGCCCATGTAAGCCAACCTTGGCACATAAATCACCTTAGGCCAATACGTTAATGGAAAATCAGCTGGAGGTCCATGAAATTCAAAAGCTTCTTTCGAAGACAACATATCTGTATTTTTTCCTCATGGATCCTGAATTCGCGCACGTGAAGTATTCTCTCAGTATCTCTTGTTTTAATATTTTGGTGGGTTCCTAACTTATTACTCTGCTTATATTTTTATAGGTTTCCCACCACAGCCTCACTATGCTCATTTGTAAACTCGTATCCTTTCAAACTCGTTTCTTTAAATCCTGAGCATAACTACTAGATCCCTTCAAAAATGCCCTTGTTCAACATTCTGTTATTTCCCTAGCATTTTCCGCATCTGTGTTCGTTCCTTTAGTCATGGTGAAGAACTGACGTTACAATGTCCAGTAGGTCAGACTAACTTATACGTTGGTACTCTACACACTGTTCTTTCCTGTCACCTAATTCGTTACTTCCTATATTAATTCAAGATCCAATGAAGGGACTAGCAGATGGCGTAATGGTTACATCGCTGGACTCCCACATGACTGACCACCATTCTAGTCCCAGACCCAGCAGCTTCAAACATGCCAGGTGTGTGTGCGTGCATGTCTAAGATCTCAAGAGGAGAACAGAAGAGAAGGGATTGCAGCATGGCCACCCCCCTGGGGAATGACTTCTCACTTTCTATTCTGTCTCCCTCTCTTTCTGGCGAATGCATGTGACCTAAAGCAAAAATCTCTCTCTAAAAAATAAGATGCTATGAAAGTGTCACGTTCCCCTGATCCCCCCTTACCTAATATTGGAGTGCTCCTAAGTGCCCTTCCCTTCCCTATTCATATCTGTTCCATGGCAATTATTACACTTTTCTAATTTCTTCCAGATAGGATTGTAAAGTTCTTTGCTGAAAATGATGTCTATGGTAATAGCTTTGATTTGGCACGTGCTACATGCCTTCTTTGAAAAATGTGTACTATTGGGATGCACAGTCACTGAATATAAATAACAAATTATAAAAGAAAAAAATATATATTTTCAAGGGGAGAAGCTGTGTAATTTATTTCTATATTCTCAATATTCTTTAAAGTTTATCTCTTCTGAGAGAGAAAGAGTGATCCCCAGTGGGGCCTTTCTCACTGTGAGCTGCCCCCCAGTTTTAACTGGCTTGATCACGGCGGGCACACGCACCTCTCAGCCCACTCAGGGAGGTCCTCGGACATGAACCCAGGATCACTCCCATGTTGAGCCAGTTATACCACCAGCTGGCCCCTCATATTCTCCGTTTGTTGTTGTTGTTCGAGTGATTTTTGCTATAGGGCATGTGCACTCACCAGAGAGACAGAGACAGAGAGAGGCAAAGTGAGAAATCACTCCCTAGGGGGATGGTTACACTGCAATGCCGTCTCCACTCTCCTTTCAGGATTTTGGGCATGCACGCACACACGACTAGCATGAGTTTCAAGGACTCCCACTGACTGGTCATGTGGGAGTCCAGCACGGGAATCACTACGTCACCTGCCGATCCCCATATTCCCAGTTTTAAATATAATATCTGGCACATACCATGCATTCAATATATTTTTCTTGAATTAACTTATTAATGAACTAGCATACAAGCTTAGTCTATTCTATGTGCTATTCTCCTTTGTGATCTCTGGTAAGCCTGTGGTATGTTTATCATTTAAACTGAGCACGGATACTATCTCCTAGATCTAAGCAAGTATGAACCTACAATGCAAAGGAAGGAGTTAACGATCCCACCTCATTGGAAATAAGACCACTGCTGGCAAATGGAATATTGATTGCCTGGATCTATAGAATACAAAATGTGAAATAAAATGTTTTTGTATAGAGACTTATCTGAGAACAATAAATGTGTTCTGGCTTAGGTTTCTTTAAATTTAAAAAAAAATCAAGCTATAATGAAATTCATTAAGAAGAGACTTTTTAAATTCCAAAAGTGATGAAATATGGTCACTTGACAGGTCTCTTGTTGAATCCTTTTTCCCCCACAGTAAGCTTTGAACTTTTAGTTACTATATTTTCAAAGAAATTTTTCCCAGATGATTTTTTATGCATTCTTCTCTTATTATATGACAAACCCCAAAAAGATCTTCTTTTTCAGTCTAGAAAAGATACAAAAATATCTGTTCAATTAACTTACTCGGTGCGTTTGCGATGGAATTCAGAAGCCCCTCACACATACTGGAATCAAGAGGAATGCAAAACTGGCTGAGCTTACAGATGTCCATGCCCCAGGGCTACCTCTGTTTAGCTCACCTTTGTATCTCCATGGAAACAATTTTTTCCCCTCCATTTCCAGAAAACAAATCATGGCAACACTTATGGTGTTCCCATGGAGACCTGGAAGCTTCTTCTTTGAATCATAGCCAAATAATATGATTTCCCCTCTCTTTTAAAAGGAAATGAATTTACAAGAATTTTACAGAAATTTAAAATCTTTATGAACTTAAAACTAAAAAATAATGAATCAATAAGATAATTAAAGATGGCATTATATACCAGAAAAACTTCACCTACAAGTACATTTTTTAAAACTTATGAACAACCAAAACTCAGCTAGAGTACCTAAAAATTATCTGGTTTAAAAATCAGCACGTAGACTACTGAGTTGATGTTAATAGACCAGAAGATGATAGCGGAATTACCATGTAAACAAGAATAAAACAAGCTTTAATTAGAATTTCTTTGAACTACCAGAAGGTGAATAGCTGAATCTTTGGGAGATAGGTCCCAGAAAATAAATATTCTTTTAGAAAGGAAGAGATCAAACAGTTAACATTCTGGAATGCACAAACTCACTTCCTTAATTATTCTTTTTCTCCTCTGACAAAATTATATTACTTTTAATCTTCTAACCTTCATCTTTGAAACTCTAAAGAAGAGATCTTGGGGAACTGACAAGTCTTGAGTCTCTTAAATGAATTTTTTTTTTTTTTTTGGAGTTTTTGCTATAGGGTGCGTGCACTCGCCAGACAGATAGAGACAGACGGAAAGCGAGAAATCACCCCCCAGAGGGGATGGCCACGCCGCAATCCCTTCTCCTCCATTCTCCTCTCGGGATCTTGGGCAAGCACGCACACGCGCCCGGCGTGAGTTTAAGCCACCGGGTCCGGGACACAAACCGCGATCGACTACATGGGAGTCTAACGACATAGCCATTACGCTAACTGCTGGTCCCGAAATTTTATTTTATGTGTGTGTGTGTGTGTGTGTGTGTGTGTGTGTGTGTGTGTCTGTGGGTATATATATATTTATATATCATGTGTAGTCACACATATATTTATAACAAACTATCTGAGGTAATAGGAGCAATCTTCAGACGTTAGAAAAAATGTATTCAGTAACTCATTTTATTATATTTTATAATAAACATTCTTTGATAATCAACCACCATCTTTGGCAACTTTTGTTTATAGCACTTCGGTCGTTGGTCGAGAACTACCTCCTCTTTGTCTTCAGTCCATCTAGTCAGATATTGCAATGTCATATCTGCCCAGGCTATGTGAGTGGGGTTCCATGTCGGTCACAGCCAATCAGAGAACTATATACATGCAGTCTAACATAAATATGCCTTCAGGTAGGAATAAAGAGAATCTAGCTCAAATATGTTACCGTACATAGTGGAACAGCTAAGCCATAGAGATGCGTCTGTGTTATTGGCATATTAAATTACAGAGAAGAAATTAGAATAAAAATCATATAATTCCTATTCTGTGCTCATTACATTGGTATTCCAAAATTTTCAGTGGGCCTTGACCTATTTTTTATAGAGATTTTTGCTATAGGGTGCACATGCTAGCAAGAGAGACAGAGAGAAACAGAGAGAGAGAAAGCGAGAAATCACCCCCTGGGGGAATAGCCACACTGCAATCCCTTCTCTTCCATTCTCCTCTCAGGATTTTGGGCAGGCATACACATACCCAGCATGAGTTTTAAGTCCCCGGGCCCAGGACTCAAACCACAGTCAATTCTGAGGGAGTCCATCTGCTGGTCCTCGGTCCTGATGCTTTTGCTTGGACAAGCTTTGCCCATCGCTTGGAGCCATGGTGGACTCAACCTCACTGGAATCACATGGAAACGTGATGATAATCATGATCCGGGGGAAAGTGGAACTGACACATCAGACAAGAGCTGACAGGTGTCACCCATGTTTCCAGTCAGGCTCGCCTTCCTTTGTGCTTCTAGAGTACCCTGTGCTGATGTCTATGGTTTCAGAAAACAAATTGTATGATCATGATTTGCTGTTTGCTGCCTGCAGTAAGATGGGAACTCCTTGCTTGGAATGATTGTATCTTCATATGTGTAACATCCGACACAGAGACTGACACAGAGCAGACAGGGCATAAATATTTATTGTGATCGAATCATAATTTTTAGAACTGGAAACGTCTTTGGCATTTATTCAGCTTTTTATTTTTCAGATGTAGATATAGAAACATACAGGTGAAAGCATGACCCCAAAGTCATACTTAGTTGTAGAAGGAAAACTAGAAGCAAATCATATTATTTCTAATTCTGTATCCATTAAAAATTACCATTTGAATGCTTCCTAATTTTTCTCTCTTTCCAAGCAAATGCATTGTACAGAGGTCACCACTGGAATCCACATATATGGTTGACCGGCAATCAAAGAGTATCTTTACATAGAAGCCTTCTGGGAAAGATTGCATTCTCAAGAAAGAGTGAACATTGAAGGCAACCTGAACCCAGTAATGAAATTGGATTTCTGGACCGTCAATCACTTAGCTTTTTTCATGTCTTGACCCTTTCTGTATTGAGGCTTTAATTTAAGATGAAACTCTGAGAAAAGAGTACGTAATTTTTATATAAAATTGTTTTAACTTTTAAAGAATAATGGACATGCAGGACTCACAAATCTACAGTGTACGATCCCTAAGTCATAACCTATAAACAACCATGAGGTCATCACGACAATCAAGAAACAGACGTATCCATCATCCCCGAAGACCTGCATGCTCCGTTATAATCACTCGCGCGGCTCTCCCATCTTCCCCAGGGAAACACGGATATGCAGACTGTCACTGTGAATTAGTTTGAGTTTTCTAGAATTTCTATTGTTTCATTTTTTTTAGAATCTCACAACAGAAGCGGCCAGTATTTACTCTTTCATTCAGATATTTAGACTTAGCTAAATTATTTTTTAATTCCAATGTTTCTATCAACAGTTCCCTTTGACTGTTCAATAGAATCTCTTTTGTATGTATTGATCTATTTATTTGTTGATTTGTTTTTAGTATCTGCATCATGTAATTTGAAACACTGGTGCTCATATATTTAAAACTGCTTTTTCTTCTTGGAGAATGGAACCCTTTATCATACGAAAAGTCTCTTTTTATTTCTGGTAATATTCCTTGTTCCGAAGGTCACATTGAGTGATATAAATATAGCTACCCTGGCTTGATTTGAATTTGTATTTTCCTGGTCTATCTTTTTCATCCTTTTATCTTTAAATAATGTATATCTTTACATTTAAAATATGTTTTTTATAAGCAACATATAATTGGTTCATGTAATATGTTTTTTATAAGCAACATATAATTGGGTTATTTAATTTTTTTGAGAAATTTTTGCTATAGGGTGCAGTGCTCACCAGAGAGAGAGAAAGACAAAAAGTGAGAAATCACCCCCAAAGGGATGATTGAATTATATATGTAGACAGATATAGATATAGATACATAGAGATTTGCGATAGAGATGGCCACGCCACAATCCCTTCTCCTCCATTCTCCCCTCAGGATTCTGGGCACACACGCACAAGTGCCTGACATGGGTTCCAAGCTGGTGTATCCAGGTTTCGAACCGTGGTCAACCACGTGGAGTCCAATGCCTTAACCACTATGCCATCTGCTAGCCCCGGTCTGTGCTTTTGCAAAATTGTGATTTGCCGATCCATGTCTTTGAATTGGTACATTTATATCCTGTACATCTGATGTGACTAATGCAAATATTGATGTGAGTATAGTTCTCAAGATTTACCATTACCCCATTTGTTTCCATTTCTGTTTGTTCCAGTTTTTATGTCTTATTTTCTTCTCTTCTCCGTCATTTTTGGAATTAATTGAGCATTTTATAAGATTTAGTGTTATTACTATTATTAACTTACTATGTATGGCATTTTAAAAACTGGTGGTTTTCCTAGGGGGCACAGCATGCGTTTACTTAGAATCTACTTTCAAATGATAATTACGCCACTTCACCTCTCCTGTAAGAACTTTACAGCAGTGTATTTCTCATTCTTTCTTCTCATCTGTTGTGCTATTGGGTCATATATCTTACTTTCACAAGTGCAATAAATTGACAATGCAGTACTATTTTTCCTTCACAAAGGTGGTTAACTTCTAGAGCAGTTACAAAGATATCTCAACTATCTCTACATCTGAAGACTCCCCAACACGGTTTTAGATTATTTCAGACTTGAGTATCCCATGAATGGCAGGAAACTCTTTTCCTAATGTGCCCCTGACACATAAACAAATATTTGGCAAAGTAGTTGTTTGTTCTATCTCCTGAAATTATGACTTAACACTTTTTACAGAACTGAGAAAAGCGATATAATTCGCATATCTATACATCTATTTCAATTAGGATAATATTCACTCCAGGCCAGGTGGAGACCCAGTGGTAATGCACCAGGACCTGCGTAGAAAGAACCAGTGTTCGCTTGGTACTTCCCTGAGCACACCAGGTGTGTGTCTAACTGTGACCTGGGCAGCTGAGACTGGTGGATTATGGTGTGAAGACCCTGCTGGGAGACTCTCTCTCTTGAGATAGAGAAAGGAAGAAAGAAAATTGTAAAATAGTAATGTTCATTTTAAGAAGGAATGAATGATGACTCAAATTCCCAGAAGGGAGGCTAAGGGGATCAGACCCAGAGACAGAAGGAGAATGAGAGACAGAGACAGAGAATTTGAATTTACTGTTGATACATGATTCAGTAGGTTAACAGCTATCTAAGTAGGAAGTTAATGTTCGAAGAAACCAGATTAACAGACAAAGTTTAATTTCCATTTCATGTGTGTATATTTTTTCTAATTAATTGAATATTTAATTCTTTTAGAGAGGAGCTCACTGAGGAAGAAGAGAAATCCAGTATTCATATAGCCTTGGTCCCTTTTCACTCTTTTTATTATGAGATTGACATAATACTAATTATTATTCTGTTACTAGTTGTACGAAATACATGAGTGCTTATACAGTTTGAATGACATAAAATATTGTGAAATAGCTCTTATACTTTTTGTCATATGGCTTCTAGTTGACAACACTGACTTTATAATGAATAGCACACCCTGTAGTTTATAGTATTATTGACATCCATTCTCTTACTCAATCATTTCAACAGCCATGTGAAATAAGTGCTATCGTTCTTATTATATAGAGTGTAGGTCTGAGGCTGGAGAAATTCTTGAGTGACAGACTTCATCAGCAAGTGAAAATGTGGCATTTACACATGACCCCATGCCCTCTGCACCTGGGACGTATTACCCAGGTCATGCCTGTTTCATTGTCGCACTGCCCTTGACTCCTCTTAGCCAATATCCATGCAGCCACCAAACCAAACCACTTTTTAAAATCTGTTCTTATTTGATTTAACTTTATGCATTTAGTTATTTATCTTAATTTGACCAGAAAGGGGGAGAGAAAGACAAAGAGAGGGAAAGTGAGAAAGCAAGCCGCCAGGTCCAGGACTTGAGCTGCAGTTGGCCATGTGGGAGTCCAGGACCCTTAACCACCACGCCACCTGTCAGCCCCTTGAACCACTTTTGATCATGGAAGGATAACATATCTCTGCCTCTATACATTTAAAAAGATCTCAGTTTAGGTCTATTTCACCTACTGTGTAAAGAACGATACCCTTCTCGTTTTAATTCTTATGAAATTAAAAACACCTTCGGAGGAGTCTAGTTATCTCCTAAATTAGATAATCGTGCCCTAACTAATATAGTGAGACAGCTAGGCTGTATCAACGAGTTTTTAGATCTCATTATCCCTGTTGAACAGCTGTGACTACACCATGTGTAAACACAGTATTTTATTTAATAAAGCGATCACGTCATCAAGTGTTAGTATCATTGTATACCATGTTTACTAACCACATGATATAATTAAGCAAGTGATTTATTAGAGATGACCCATCTCAGTAGCATTTCAAATAAAGATATATTTAAAAATAAAGGCTTATGGGGCCAGCAGGTGGCAGGGTGGCTTAGGCTCTGGACTCCACATGGCCAACCATGGTTCGAGTCCCTCTCTCTGTCTCTCTCTCTCTTTCTGATGAGAAAGCCCTCCATCATGTGCCCTGCATAAAATTATCTGTCTCTCTCTCTCTTTCTGATGAGAAAGCTCTACATCATGTGCCCTACATAAAATTTAAAAATAATAATGATAATAAATACAAATAAAAAATAAAAATAAGGTTTATGAGTGACATCTATAATGTATGATTCAGAAAATAGTTTACAAACTAAAAAGTAAAAGAAACTATTTTACAAAATTTTACATTTTGGTAGAAAGGAACAGGGGTTCATAGTTTAAAATGCTTGTATAATACTGTCCTTAACTACATGTGACTAACAAGGAATCCTGCCAAAGTTAGCACTGTTTCTCAGGGTATGGAAACCATTTAGGAGACAGTAGGAATAACATCTTGTTGGGCAGAATGAACACCAACTTCATGGTTCACTCTAGCTTGCTTCTTATGAAATCTTAGAATAAAACCTCCTGGTAAAGTTATTTTCCACTGGCTATCTTTGTCTAATTATTTATTCTTTAAAATAAATCTTTAATTTCCCTTCATTTTTATGTTTAGAAACAAAAATGCAAACTAAATCTCTAAATGAACATAACAGGACATAAGAATAAATTTTGTCATTTTTCAAAAACTTTCAGTAGCGTTGCCAATGGGATGACGCGTATGCCTGCTTTTACAAGTCTTAATTATCCTGAAAATATACCCGAATCCAAATGATGGGTGGATACCAAGAAGAAAGCAGCAGCCCTTGTCCTCCAGTAGAACAGGTGATTCAATGAGAGAATGATTATAGAAAGGATATGAGATGAAATGAGTTTTTAATGAATGAAGAATACCTGAAAATGAACAGTATTGATTTTTGAAAGCTCAAAGGACTTTGTAAAGATTTTATTCTTCACAAATTAAAAACGGCCTCACCATCCATCTTACCAGGTATGGAAGGGCTGTGCCTTTGGCCAGTTGTCAAAATTGGGAAGTGGAGTAGAAGGAGAAGAGAAAGACAAAGGGTGACAAACAGTGGAAGGGAGGAGACAGAGAGGGTATTTTAGAAATTCCTTGGCAATAATTCTTATGTCCTGCCCCCTCATATCATAGCAAATATCAAAATGTATTCACACCCTCCCCAAACACTGCTTCTGTATAACCATCTAAAGTGGAATGTGTTGAAGCCAACTAGGTAAAATCACTATATTCTGTGGCTCTTTCAGTATTAATCCACTTGGAATGTGCAATATTTTTCTATATGTTGGAGTCAATAATCTTCAATTCTCTGCATTTTTGAAGGTTCTTGATACCTTGTAAATGTGAGAAATCGTGTCTGTAGGGACTGATTAATAATGCAGCCCTGCCAGGGACTAATTTGGCAATTGGCTGTGAAGCTATCTTTCTTGAGAAAACATGGTTTTCCATTATTTGGCTTTAAAACTCTTTAAAATATGGGACCAATATGTGGCGTGGTGGTTAAGGAGCTGGATGGCTGACCGCAGTTCGAGTCCCAGACCTGGAGGCTTGAAAATCGTGCTGATCATGCTGGGTGTGTGCGCATGCATGCCCAAAATCCCAAGAGGAGAATGGAGGGGAAGGGATTGTGGCATGGCCATCCTTCTCAGGGGGTGATTTCTCACATTCCTTCTCACTGCCTCTCTGTTTTTCTCCTCTCCGGGGAGTACCTGTGCCCTATAGCCAAAACAAAACCTTGAAGGAAATAAAAATCTTTAAAATGTTAATAGGCTCAGCCACAGTGGTGCCAGTGGAAGGACGTTCTGCATAGGCTGGAGCCACAGGGAAGACCCGAGTTCAGATCCTGGGCTAACTTGCAATAGGTGAGGGGCGGTGGTTCACAGCCTGAGATGAAATGAGTTTTTAATGAATGAAGAACACATGAAAACTAATGGTATTTAGTTTTGAAAGCTCAAAGGACTTTGTAAAGATTTTATTTTTCACAAATAAAAACGGCCTCACCATCCATCTTACCAGGCTCGTGTCCCAGACCCGGTGGCTTAAACTCACGCCGGGCGCGTGTGCGTGCGTGCCCAAGATCCCCAGAGAAGAATGGAG